ACATCCATCTCTCCCATAGCGGCTAAATACAAGGCAAATTAAAAGACAGCTAAACAAATAACTAACACTATTCTGCTCAACAAATTCCCTAAAGGAAGAAGCTGCTGGAAGGAGAGTGATGACAATTTTAATTATATTTTGTTCTCACAAGTGCACGAGTCAATTGTAGTGATAGTGTGCAAAGGTAAGGGTCAAACCCACAAGGAATTGGTCCGGAGTGAAAAATTGATGATCTCCTCCTTTGATTTTGCCTTTGTTTTATATTGTTCAACCTCCGACCGCTTCTCTGAGTTTGTTGAAAGAGTTTCCACCAATGAGCAGGGCCGGATTTTAGGCTGTGCAAGCTGGGCTACCGCACAGGGCCCCCAATTTTAGAGGGGCCCCAAATTTTATAGGTCCAATATTTAATTTTTACCTAGCTAGTTTAGAAATAAAAATTAAGAGTTTTCAATTAAACTTAAAAGGTTCTATGAAGAGATGGTAAAAATGTATATTTATTGTATTTTAACTTGGAGGTCAAAGGTTCGAAACTTGCATGTATTGATTTTAAAAATTGTGATTTTGGTAGGGCCACATTTATTTACCAGAACAGGGCCACCAAAATTTAAAATACGGCCCTGCCAATGAGACGTTCATATGGAACAGTGTTTGACTTGCAAAACCCACCAAAGGGAGAGCTTAAACTCAGGTTCTTAGTCAGCGGCCAAAAATGGATAGAGTCCAAAAAGGCTATCATTCCTCATTATTGAAAGGCTGGTTCCACCATTGACGGTACATTCTTTCACATTTCATTTTTCCAAACTCTATAAACTAACTTGTAATAGATATCATTAAAGCTAGGAATTTCCAGCCAATTTAAAAATTGTCTACACCGTGGAATAAGTCATGAAGCACGCTGGGCACGAGCCCACAGCATAACCATCCCCATAATAGTGTTCTAAAAACCTATTAACCAAACAACAACAATAACTTTCATACCCATTCCTATAGACAAAACCCACCAACCAAACACACCCTAATTTTTACCAAATTTGTGCCAAATAAATTCATGTAATAATATTTGTTTCTTAATAAATAATCATATATAATAAAACTGAAAATAAAAGAGGTAATGGTCTTGAACAATGATAAAGTTTGGTTAAGGTTGGGTCTGATTCAAGTCCTTTATAATCTACATCTACATCTACAATTTTAATAAGAGCCAATAATATTAGGCCCTTAATTGGAATTAAAAAAAAAATATCGGTCCTAATTGTTTCTTAAAATGAATGGTTCATATTATTTTGATTTTAGTATTTCTTAATGATTTTCCTTATTTTACCCTTTATTATATTATTTTCTTCCCTTAAATAACCTTCAATTCCGTTAGTATAAACTTTCTTAACGGAATATTTCTTAACCTTCAAGACCTTTCTTATAGAAATTAATGAGTAAGTTAAGAATAATAAATAGCTAACGGATGCAAAAACGACGTCGTTTTAATAAAACGCGCGTCTCCCCTTAAAAAAAAAAAAATCAGGTTCGATTCACAGCAACAACATATGAACTAAAATTCCATAATTGGTAAACTATAATTCCATAATCGATGAACTATAATTCCATAATCTAATCTATGAACTAACAATTCCAGAATGAATGAACTAAAATTCCATAATCTATAAACTAAAATTTCAGAATTGATGAACTACAATTCCATAATCGATGAACTATAATTCCATAATCAATGAACTATAATTCCATAATCTATGAACTAAAATTCCAGAATGAATGAACAATATAATGTTGTTGCTGGGAATCGAACCTGAATTTTTTTTTAAAAGGGAGACGCGCGTTTTTTAATAAAACGACGTCGTTTTGGCATTCGATGCACAGCATAACGATCCATACAATTCTAATAAGAGCCAATAATGTTAGGCCCTTAACTGAAAATAAAAAATGTCGGTCCTATTGTTTCTTAAAATGAATGGTTCATATTATTTTGATTTTAGTATTTTTTTAAATGATTTTCCTTATTTACATTTTATTATATTATTTTCTTCCCTTAAATAACCTAAATCCCGTTAGTATAAACTTTAGTAACGGAATATTCCGTTAACTATTTATTATTTTTAACTTACTCATTAATAATTTATATAAGAAAGGTTTTAGGTTCGAACCTCATTCCAATTAGAGTTAGCATAATTGTTAAACATATACTATGAATATTTTAAAATGTATTAATATATATATATATATATATATATATATATATATATATATATATATATATATATATATATATATATATATAATATAAAATTTAACATAAACTTTGGTCAAATAATTAGTCCGACTAAATACATAACATTCAAAGTTAAGCATTAAAGATTATAAATCAAGAACTTTAAAAATCATTTGATTTTTATGCATTTAAAAATAATAATAAATTTAGGTTAAGTTTTATTTTTTTTCGTTTAATAAATCTTCTTTTGATTATTTGGATCAAAACAAAACTTAATATTTCAATTATATTTTTGAATTATTGGTATGATTTAGGTCGTTATGGTATTAATATTTTTTGTATGTGTTTTTATAATAGTACAATTATATATTACTTTACAAATATTATACTATTATTTTTTTTATCGTACAAAATTGTTCTTACATCAATGTCAGACCTAACTACAAAGTTGTTGATCATAAATACAATTACACCTGGAATCTAAAACGGTAAGACCATTTTCCAAAGAATTGACAATGTTACATCCCATTGGCACTAATTGAACAAGTTTACACATCATAATTTTATCACTGCATGAAAACTTCTAAGAAAATTTGAAAATTAATTTTTACTATATCATTATAACAATATCTATTGTAACTATATATTTTGAATTATTTATTATCATCCTCTACTTACACGAATTGTAACAATTGTCATTGACAAACTCTTAAAATAATTTGTCTCAACAACGAATGTAAATTTTTTAAAAAAATCATTGATTTCATTATTGTTGACGAAAAGTATGTACGCCACTTTATTACTCTTATTAAATTAAATAAATTAGTAGCTACAACAAAAAAATAATGCATATGCATTTAATTAATTTAGAATTAGATGTCTATAATGCCTTTATTTTAAAAAAGGAAAAATTGTAATTTATGCCCGCCGTAATATGCCAATTATCAATGTCAACCCTGAATTATTAATGGTGTAAATATTGTCCATCAATTTTTAAAATGGTACATATATTGCCCCTCTTGTACCATACGGTAGGGGCAATATATGTACCGTTTTGAAAAATGAGGTGCAACATTTACACTACGGGAGGGCATTATATGTACAGTTTTGAAAATTGAGGGGCAACATTTACACCACTAATAATTCAAGGGTGATATTGATAATTGACTTATTATGGAGGGGAATAAATTAAAATTTTCCCTTTTAAAAAATTATTCATTATAAAAAATTTAAAAACATATCTAATTTCATTAGTTATATTATTTTTATTTTCTACAATTTAAAGATTCATTACTTTCAAATTTATTAATTTATTAATTTATTATATTCACTACATTGTCCATTGTCTTCTTTTTACATTATATTGTAATTAAATATCAAAGTTATATGAACAGATACTACAATGTAATAGAGCTAGTAGCATTCAAAAAAAAAAAATATCAAAGTTATATATAATACAAATATGTTATATATGTTTATTTACCAAATATTTTATACAAATATAATAAATATTAATATTTTGTTCAATACTTTCACATGATAACATACGACACACATCTCACATGCATGAAACATGTAAGGGAAAACTACCATTACCAATCGTACACCATAATCTTTCATTGCATGATGAATCTATCTATGCTACCACCAGTAACCCGATTGCACATGACACACTACCAATAAATTTTTATTTTTTTTAAAAGGACATGTACTGAAGATGAAGACAATGAAAATGCCACCCAAAAGAGAATTGAGAAGAATTAGAAAAATTTAAATCAAAAGTAGTATTTATTTAGACTATCATTTTTAGACTAAGTATTTAGACTAACGTTATTACAAAGTTGTAAACATTTATTTTAGTGACAATATAATAAATCTCTTATATATTATATTGCATTTATATACTTTAAATTACCAATTTAAATAAACAAATTCAATATTATTTAGCTATGTATGAGCATTTCTGATATAATATTACATTGATATACTTTGAAATACTTATTTAAAAATAATTATTGGACGTTATTCCATTCGCGCAAAGCGACTATTGAGAGAAACCTAGCTAAGTTAGTCGGGATTAGTAGTCTAGACTAATTTATTTATTTGTAAGAGTACATACCCAAAATGGTCCCTCGACTATAGCTAAATTTACAAATTGATCATCGACTTTCAATTTCAACCAATTAAGTCCATAACTTTGTAATTTTGACACGATTTGGTCCTCCATCTATTTGACCGTTTGTTGACCGTGATCGACGATCTCTAGAAGAACCTTCAGCTCTCATCGGAGCACGTGGAGGCCTCCAGAATGACGTTGTACTGGTTCGGAAAAACGTCGTCTTCTTCGCTCTGGTATGAACTCAACTACATTGAATCCAAAGGGAGGATGAAGAAAGGCGACCGGATTTGGTAGATTGCTTTCGATAGTGGATTAAAATGTAACAGTGCGGTCTGGAAAAGCAACCAGAACCTTAAAAAACCGACGATGAACCATGAAATTACATATATATCCTCAAAATTCACAGTAAACAAACGGTCAAATAGACAGAGGACTAAATTATGTTAAAATTACAAAGTTAAGGACTTAATTAGTTGAAATTGAAAGTCGAGGACCAATTTGTGAATTTAGCTATAGTCGAGGGACTATTTTGGATATTTATTCTATTTGTAATTCTTTGTTGGCTAAACTCACAAGAAATGAATACTTGATTAGTGCAAACTAATAAGTCTGCATATTTCTTTCAGTCACACAAAAAATCAGTGGATTATACGACGCCGTAAATTTAGCATTTTTAGAGGAGTACTTTTCTACCTTAACCCGATTTCACAATTCGGACTGGGAATATTGCCGTGAAGGGTCACTTCTCCTCGTCGCCGATTACTGCCTCCCTGCAATTCGCCGCTCCGATTACTGGTTTGTCTCAAATCCAATCTACTGTGTGCCAGCGCGTATATGTATGTATACATTCTTCTGGATTTCCTTTGTCTCACTAGCCCTAGCCTCATATTGTGATTTACGCAACTCTTTCAGCTTTTGAGGATTAATGTTCAGTATATGTTCATAGAGCGATTGAAATTGAATGAAGTGAAGTCGAAGTATTGTTTACTTTTTTCTTTTCCCCTGCAATTTTGTTTGAATTTTCTACTTGCTCCAGTACGACATACTGTTTATGCACCAGATGAAGCTCATCAATAAGATAACTTTTAATTAATGTCCCCTTGTTTGAAAAACACCATTTGTGTTATTGTAGAAAATTGCATTTTATTTATTGCAGATTCGAAAACACCAATTTCAGGGAGGCTGCTTAATGAATTTTGGTTGAATGGTTGATCCAAGTTCAACTATTTGTGTATATTTGCACTTTTTCCTGTACTACCCACCTTGACAAACCAGTTGTTTCTGTGTTGATATGTTCCTTCTTTTCCATTATCTGCTACAGTTTCACCCTTGCCTCTAACATTGCAACAGAGACTCAAGAGTATTGTTTTTTTGGGTATTGATGCATCATAAAAAGCATGTCTTAATTTTTGAAATGTTTGGGTGCACTAATCCTTTTACCTTAACTTCATGTGTGTATAACATAAAGATTTTAACAACTTCAGTGGGTTAGGATAGGCACTCCATTAAATTTGGCATCTTACATCTTTCAAAATTGGCATCTTCCTGCCTGCAGTTGAGGCTTGGAATTTAATTACTAATTTACTATTGTCAATTTCACCATCTTAGGGTTATGTTCCAATTTTAATTTATTTCTTCTTTAATTTTCATATACTAAAGTTATCTAGATTATGGAGCGGAAACGTCTGCAGAGAGATAGAATCAGTGAACTCCCGGCAGATATACTTGACAAGATTTTGAGCTTCTTGCCGATTCAAGAAGCTGCTAGAATGGCCGTTTTGTCTACCTTTTGGAGAGATATTTGGTTCAGTCTTACAGAACTTGACTTTGGTTGGTGGTTTTTTGTTCACATTAGGAAAAAACATTTCCATGCTCACAGTGATATCAGGACCCAAAACATACAAGACGAAACGAAAAACAGTAATATCTGGATATTTGCTGGTTTGTATGTGGTCAACAAAGTTCTCATCCAGCATAATGGACTTATTCGCAAGTTTGTCTTCAATTTTGACTTTTTGAATAGGAGCTTCAGTACGAAAACACTTAGGTCTCGGTCGTTTGATTTCGATCAATGGCTCCTTTTTGTCACACGAAAAGGTGTTGAAGAAATACACTTTAGTCTTATGCCAGAAGATGAATACACTCTGCCGAATTGCATATTTTCTTGCCCAACACTCAGGAGATTGGATGTTTGTGGAGTCTCTATTGGACCAATTAGTGACCCTTGCATATTGCCAAATGTCACTTCACTATGTTTCAAAAATGTTGACTTTAATCCTAGAGATCATCTAGTTGATGTTCCTATGCTCGAGAATCTGTCATTTGAGATTTGTTATAACCTTCATGATTTTAACTTTACTGCTCAAAAACTTCATAGTTTAAGAATAGACTCTTGCCCTTTTTACCAACTCCCTTTTAACTTGGACTTGAGATCTATTCGTACTCTTGATTTGGATTGTTCTTCTATGCAGGTATATATTCTGATTCTTTCTTTTTTTCCAAGTAATTATTTATTTAAATTATTTATTAGCAACTCATGTAACTTGATTTCTATTTGGTTTCAAAGGGTTTTGTTAATGGATTTACTGGAAGGGGACTACAACAACCACTTGAGCTAGATGTGGAATATCTGATGTTATCAACTGAAGACTATCATGATCATGTGGAAGATGTTTATTCTGCATTCATTCATTTGCTTCGAATATGCCCAAAATTATGCAAACTTGATATAGATTTATCGGTAATTTTATTTTACTTGATTACTTTTTTTTTTTTTGTGAGATTCTAGTTGTTTCTATTATTATTATTATTATTATTATTATTATTGTTGTTGTTGTTGTTGTTGTTGTTGTTGTTGTTGTTGTTGATGATGATGTTGTTTTGTTTTTTGTTAATTTGTTTCCTTTTTTTAGTTCTCCCATGTTATGCCAAAACTTACGGACGAATTTCAAACTGTGACTCAAAGACATACAATGCTTCACACATTGAAGTTGGACTCATATATAGGAAGTGTGCATGATTTGATTTTTATCAAGAGATTACTTGCTTGCTTTCCCGCACTTGAGAAGGTTTTCATTGTTCATGAGGATACATGGGACTACGAAGAATTCTTTGAAAGTAATAAGGAGGAGCTTTTGCATTCTCAGTGTGCCTCTGCAAAAGCAGAAATTGTTATGTATAATTATAATTATTAGTTTGAGAATCCTTGCTATTTAAATGTATTGAAACACAACTTTTTTTTTTCTTTTCATGGTTGTAGTTGGATTTTTAAAATAATAATAATAATAATAATAATAATAATAATAATAATAATAATAATATGTAGGGTCGCACTTGTGTGAGAATCGTTTCACAGATCTGCGAGGCGGATTGGGTTTGGTCGGATTAATGTGTTCATATAGCGATTGGAATTTAATAATGTGATGTCGAAAGTTTACTTTCTCTTCTCTGCAATTTTGTTGAGAGTTTTCTACTTGCTTAGTACTACATACTGTATATGCGCCAGCTAAAGCTCATTAATTAGATGACTTTTTTTTTTTCTTTTTCTTTTTTCCCTTTATTAGAAAGTTGAAATTAACCTAGCATGGTTGTAAGAATGAGGATTAAAGACAGTGAATTTGCAGATATTGTGAAAAGTTGCATTTATTTAATGAATTTTGGTTGAATGATTGATGCAAGTTCAACTTGTTGTCTTAATTTGCACTTTTCCCTGTTTTATCCACCTTGAGAAACCAGTGATTTTTGCGTTGACATGTTCCTGCGTTTTCATTAACTGCCACTGTTTCACCCTATCCAAATTAACTTGACAAGAGTTAGGGTTCTTGTCGATTGAAAAAGCTGCTAGGATGGCTGTTTTCTCTACCTTTCGGAGAGATATTTGGTTCAGTCTTACACAACTCAATTTTAATGTTAGATTTTTTAATCACGTTAAGAAAAAATATTCCCATGCTCATCCATAAGGGCATCCTTAATAGTGAGAATTTTAGTGTAGTATTTTAGGTGCCAAAAAAAAAAAATTTGACGCCTGAAAAATGTCAGGAAGAAAAGTTTGGCTTCCAGCCTTCTCTTTCACTTTGTCTCTGTTATTGGGCCCACAAAAACCTCCATATTGCAGGAGAAAAGTTTGGCCAAAGTCTTCATCTTCCATTTGTGAAAATCTCTTCCATGGAATTTTGTTGTCCTAAAACTTGGTGAAGGCCCCTCTAATGGGGATGCCTTAATGATATCTGGATTTCTGTGGATTTGTATGTAATCCATAATGTTCTCATCCAGCACAACACACTTATTTGCAAATTCGTCCTTGATTTTCAATATCACAATAGGAATACTGTTAAGTCTTGTTTGTTTGACATTTATCAATGACCAATTTTTGTCACACAAAAAGGTGTTGAAGAAATCCACCTTAGTCTTTTGCACTAAATGTGGAATACTTGAAGTTATCAAGTAACTATATATGAGGAATGTGATCTTAGCTGTTATTCTTTCATTAATTTGATGCAAAAATGCCCAAAATTAGGTGAACTTGCTATAGATTTAGAGGTAATCATATTTTTCTGGATAAATTATAAAGCAAAAATCTTGATGCAATTTTGTTATTTAAATGCTTAGCTGATTGAGGTTTTCTTCATCTCTTTTTTTTGAAGGTTGCTGACATGGTGAGTGATTGTCTATATAGTGCTTGTGACGCTAACCGTAACGCAAAACCTATGGTGGCTCAAGCACTCAAAATGCTTCGCACTTTGAAGATTAGCTTATTTGAAGGGAGTGAGAGTTGTATGTGTTTGTTCGAGAGGTTATTTTTGAAATTTTCGGAACATAAAAAAAGATTGTCATTATTTCTAATATTATTGGTTTGGATTCAACTCCAATAATGTGCTCGAAATTATGGAAGACCTTTCGCTTTTTTCACGCGCCTCCACAACAACTTTTGTTCTCGGACAAAAACGTACGTTATATAATAAAGATAATCCTATTATGTACTTGTTGAGATGAACTTGTGTGTTGATTTAATAAACTCTATACGTTCGGATGGTGATGTACTTGTTAGTAGTTGTGCACAGAGTAAATCATCCTAGGTTGTCTATAGCTAAATCGCTTTCACTAAGAGTCGAACTTGAAGTTTTATGGTTATGTTAATAATTAATAATTCAATAAACTTAGTGGAGGTTGTTCATACACTTGTTTGTTTGTTTTAAGGGAAGGGAGGTAGTTTCGTTTTGTTGTGAAGAAATGACGATATCTATGGTAATATGATTAATGAACTTTTTTAATTTTAGTAATCTACATTTTGACTTTGATTTTGAATTTATATTTTATCAAATTTAGCACCCGCCAAAATTTTCGTGCATCGTTGTTATCTCCACGGGTAAACATGTAATTTCCAACCATTATGTTCTAAAAGATTCTTCTCCCAAAAAGTTGAATCTCCGACTCTAAGGGCCTCTACACCCCGTCCAACAAAGTATTTGGAAGCAGCAATTATATTGTGGACCGTGGTCCACAAAGCTTTGTAGATCATGGTCCAAAATGACAGATACTCTACTGTTTTTAAATTGACATTATCTCACATATTATTTTTATTATATTATCAAATGAAACTACAATTGAATTAAAATGAAACTGTAGTTGTATTGAAATGAAACTGCAATATATACAAAATGAAACTGAATAACAATTTCACATATTTGAGTGTATATTGTCTAGCGAAGCTGTAGTTATATCAAAATGATATTGTAGTTGTGTTGAAATGAAACTGCGGTGCATATTTGATGCCTGGACCACAATGCATTGTGGACCGTGGTCCATAATATAATTTGTTATTTGGAAGGGTATAAATCATAATGACTCTAACTTATCAGGTCAAATGCTGGTGCGCACAAGAGATCCACCCACTTTGAAGGTATTCCTCGTACTGTCGCCGACGAAATTTGAATCTTAATCTATTCTCCCAATATTACATACTGAATTATTGAACTAAACTCGTGCAAGCTATCTTGCAAAAGAGTCTTTCATTCAATAAGACGCTCAAAATCAGGAACAAGTTAAAAGTTCACATCAATTTTTTTTTCCTCCCTCCTCTCTCTTTTTGTTATTTTGTCTTCTTTCTTCTTTCCGTTTCTTTTCGCTGCCTCCTCCGGATTTTTGCTGAAAAAACGCAGAAAAACTCAAAAATATATTCCCAAAGTGCCAAGCTTTCTGCTAAAAAGGAAAAAAAAAAAAAAAAAAAAACTTCCTTGCCAAAATAAACTTTCGTTTTTAATAATAATAATAATAATAATAATAATAATAATAGAACTTTTTATCTCTAAATTATAAAAAATACGGAGTAACACTTTTGATCTATGATGTATTTTTTTTTTTCTCTTTTCAATTGTAAAAGAAAAAAATCTCTAACAATTAGATAACGAAAAGTGAATAAATAGTGTTATTTCTCAATAATTTAGGTACGAAAAATATTATTTTTCCTATTAATGATGATGAAGAAGAAAAAAACTAAGAATAATAATTTTTAAGTAATAAAATTTAAAAAATATTAAAAATTCCTTGCCAAATAAAATTTTCTTTTTTAAAAATAATAGAAAATAACACTTTTCGTTCATAAATTATAAGAAAATAACACTTTTCGTCTTCAATTATACTATCACTACTTTTGATCTTCAATTATCTACAAATAGGGTAATTTTTAATCCAATCTTGCGAAATTTCTTTTTTAATATAATATAATCCTAATAGAACTTACACAAAAGAGTGTTATTTCCTTATAATTATTTAATAATAAAATTCGTCACTTTAATTTCCTAATAATAATAAAATTAAAAACTAAAAAGACTAAATAATTAATTTCTAACTAATAAAAGTGCGGTATAAAATATATAAAAATTTCCGTATTAAATATTAACCATAAACTTATCATTTCTTTTAAAATGACTGTTTAGAGTTAGAGTGATGTAAGAACTCTATTACCATAAAGTTATCAGTTATCCTTAACAACTTGTCCTGATCCGAGTCTGACATCAATTTGTTTAAGCTTTTACGCTATATACATCTATCTCTCTTTTTTTGAGTGACGCTAAAAATTTAACAATATTTACTTTGTAATACTAACTTATAAATGACTACATCGAATTAAATTAGTTTAAATTCTCCACAGACAATCAATTCAAACTAAAAATGTCAACAATTACGAACTCCCTACCCACTAAGGCTAAATCTGTGGAAAAATTATATCGTGGACCAGGGTCTACAGTGCACTGTGGACCTTGGACAAATTATATCGTGGACCAAAGTTCACAGTGCACTGTGGACCCTAGTCTAATAAACAGAATTTGACATTATAATGCACAGAATTCAAGTTCATAATACTCAAAACGTAAACACGATATAATGAACATGAATTATGTGCATTATGAATATGAATTCTGTGTATTGGATCAGTCCATAGTGCATTGTGGACCCTGGTCTACGATATAACAATTGAAATCTCTTCGCAAATTATATCGTGCACCACGGTGCATGATCGATCATTCACCGCGCATCCAAACGACGTCGTTTTGTTTAATGAGAAGAAATAGAATCTTCGCAAAAAATAACTCTATTCTTCAGTTTCATTTTGTATACACTGCAGTTTCGATCAGTTCAACACAACTACAGTTTCATTTCAATATAACTACAGTTTCATTCTATATTTATACACTCAAATATGTGAAAATATTTTTTAATTTTATTTTGGAATAAGGGTCAAATAGGCCATCGAACTGCACACGATAATGCAATTAGGCCACTGAACCTAAAAAACCAACAATTAGGTCCCTAAACTAACCAATTTCAAACAATTCTTTCAATTTATAGGTTTCCAACAAGTTAACAGGTCATCCTTCCTAATTAATTATTTTTTAAAAAATAAAATTTTAAAATTAATTATTTAAATAATTAAAAAAAAAACAGAATTCAGCCGATCTGTTTTTTTTTTAAAAAAAAAAATTAATAATTAATTTTTAAATTTTATTTTTTAAAAAATAATTAATTTGAAGGATGACCTGTTGACTTGTTGGAGACCTTCAAATTGGAAGAATTGTTAGGAATTGATAAGTTTAGGGACTCAATTGTTAGTTTTTTTAGTTCAGTGGCCTAATTGTATTATCATGTGCAGTTCGATGGCCTATTTGACCCTTATTCCTTTTATTTTATATACACTATAGTTTCATTAAAACACAACTACATGATCATTTCAATATAATTACAGCTTCATTG